GGGCAGGGCGGGTAGGAGGCCGTGGTCCAGGCAGGGCGGCGGGTGTGGGCGGGCAGGGTGGGCGGTAAGCCGTGGTCCGGTGGCCGTGACCGTGGTGTGTCCCCCAGGGGAGCAGGAGGAGTCACGTTGCCAGCGCTGCATCTCAGAGCTCAAGGACATCCGGCTGCGGCTGGAGGCTTGCGAGACACGCACCGTGCACCGCCTGCGGCTGCCTCTGGACAAGGAGCCGGCCCGCGAGTGTGCCCAGCGCATGGCTGAGCAGCAGGCAGGCGCCCGGTCCTGCCCCCTCATCCCCGACCCTCACCACATTTCCCTTACCTCTCCTGTCTGCTCGTCTTCCCCGTTCCCTTATCTCTCCTCATTCCCCATCTCTTCTCCCTCCCTCCCTCTTCCTTCTCTCTTGCCATCTTCTCCCTCCAGCCTGGCTGCTGTTTCCCATAGCGTTATTTCCCCCGACTCCCACTCCCTCCCTCTGCCCCAGCTTTCCCCTTCCCTTTTATCTCCCCATTTCCCGTCTCTTTCCCTCCCTTTCTCTTCCCTGTCTCCTTCACCCAGCCTGGCTCCCATTTCCTGTATGTTTATTTCCCCCATCTCCTCCCATCTGTCCCCCCAGCCTCCATCTATCTCCCTCCCAAGGGGTGCTGAGGGTCAGGCTCTGGCGGTCACAGGTCCCCTCCTCTCTCTCAGAAAGCGCAAGCCGAGGTGGAGGGGCTGGGCAAGGGGGTCGCCCGGCTCTCCGCTGAGGCTGAGAAGGTACTGGCCCTGCCTGAGCCCTCGCCGGCTGCCCCCACCCTGCGCTCGGAGCTGGAGCTGACGCTGGGCAAACTGGAGCAGGTCCGCAGCCTGTCCGCCATCTACCTGGAGAAGTGAGTGTACCGTCCACGGGCCGAGGCTGACTGGGGGCTCTGCACAGAGAGCCCGGCCAGCTGTGGCTGATGGCAGATGGACCATCAGGGGGCAGGGAGGGTTGAGTCATCAGGTTGGGGTGTGCAGAGGGGTTGAGTTTCAAGATGGCAACCCTGGATTTCCTGCCCATCTGATGGCGTACTGGAGGTAGTGGACAAGAAGGACGCAGATGGAGAAGAAGGGAGGAAGCGAGACAGCGAGGGGCTGGGGCTCATGAGGAGGGAGGGGTTGCAGCATGGAGGTCCCTGGTGACCTGGAGAGGGAGCAGAGGGTGGGGGCTTGGGCAGGACTCCCTTAGGTCCCACCCCCCACTCGCCTCCAGCGCTGGCTGGAATGCAGAGTTCTGCCCCCCCCACTCCTCCCCCGTCCCATCTCCTGCTCCCCTCAGCCAGACACAGGGCCTCTTCTGTCCTCGAATGTTAATTCAGAAACTTAAAAGATTATACACTCACAGGGTTCAAAGGTCAAGTTTTACAGTGTAGTGGGAAATCTCCCCCGACCCTGTCTCCTGCCCTCAAAAGTGCCGCCAAGTTTGTTTCCTGACTGCAAACAAACACAAACAACTTTCAACTTTCTCTTTTCGGCTCTTTTTTTCTCACACATACGGCCAAGAAATCTTTCTGCACCCGTCCCCCTCCCTCGATGGGGACTGGAAGGCAGAGCCGTAGCCCTGGCACCTCGGGTGTCAGCCCTGGGGGCTGGCTGGTGGGCTCTGTCCCGCCTTTTGGTGGGGCACATGCTCCCGGGATCTCCAGGCTTCAGCATCCCTGAGTCGGAGCCCCCTTCTTTTCTCCCCTTCTTTTCTCCCGGGAGCCTGTGACCCCCAGTCCCTGCTGGCCACCAGGGCTCTGGTCCGCTCAGCCTGGGCTTGGCGCCTGGATGGCGGGTGTTGGGCTGTGGCTCTGCCAGCTGGGCTTGTTGCTCCTGGAGCTGCCGCCGGCTCTGAGCCCGCTCTCCCCACAGGCTCAAGACCATCAGCCTGGTGATCCGCAGCACGCAGGGGGCTGAGGAGGTGCTGCAAGCCCACGAGGAGCAGCTCAAGGATGCACAGGCCGTGCCCGCCGCCCTCCCGGAGCTCGAGGCCACCAAGGCCACACTGAAGGTACGTGCACTGTGGGCTGTGTACACCGCGGGGGTCAGGCCAGGCGGGCGGGCGGGCGGGCTGGTTGCGGCTGAACCTCTTCCCTGCAGGAGCTGCGGGCCCGTGCGGAGGCACAGCAGCCGGTGTTCGATGCTCTGCGTGAGGAGCTGCGGGCAGCGCAGGAGGTGGGCGAGCGGCTGCAGCAACGGCACGGCGAGCGTGATGTGGAGGTGGAGCGCTGGCGTGAGCGCACGGCACAGCTGCTGGAGCGCTGGCAGGCGGTGCTGGCTCAGGCCGACAGCCGGCAGCGTGAGCTGGAGCAGCTGGGCCGCCAGCTACGCTATTACCGCGAGAGCGCCGGCCCGCTGGGCGACTGGCTGCAGGACGCCAAGCGGCGGCAGGAGCAGATCCAGGCAGTGCCGCTGGCCAATAGCCAGGCTGTGCGCGAGCAGCTGCGGCAGGAGAAGGTGAGCTAGGCTGGGGCTGGGCGGGGGAGGGGGCAGGACTAGAGCTGGGGCGGGGGCGGGGCCGGGGCTGGGGCAAAGGGGGCAGGGTGCGGGTGTGGGGTGAGCGCAGCCAGGGGCCATCAGGACTGTGAGGTGGGTGCACCATGAGGCCGCTGACCGCCCCTTCCCAGGCGCTGATGGAGGAGATTGAGCAGCACGGGGAGAAGGTGGAGGAGTGCCAGAAGTTCGCCAAGCAGTACATCAATGCCATCAAGGTAAGCCTGCCCGGCGCCCGGCCTGGCATCCTGGGGAGACTTGCTGGGGTGGGGGTGGGGGCTGGGCATGAGCCCTGGGTTCAGCCAGCAGCGGGCGATGGGTGGAAATGCAGGGCGGCCCCCAGTTCGCGGGCTGGTGGCCGACGCGGTGTGTCCCCCAGGACTACGAGCTCCAGCTGGTCACGTACAAGGCACAGCTTGAGCCGGTGGCCTCGCCGGCCAAGAAGCCCAAGGTCCAGTCAGGGTCGGAGAGTGTCATCCAGGAGGTGAGCCAAGGGCCGGCGTCTGTGCCGGCTGGGGCGGGGCAGGCACTGGGCGCAGCTCTGCAGGGCTGACCCTGACTCTCCTGGCCGCAGTATGTGGATCTGCGCACGCGCTACAGTGAGCTGACCACACTCACCAGCCAGTACATCAAGTTCATCAGCGAGACCCTGCGGCGCATGGACGAGGAGGAGGTATGGGCGGCGGGGAGAGACAGGCTGGGGTCCATCCTGCTGCCCACCCACCCGCCCTAGCCGACGGCAGCCCTTCTCGGAGTACTCAGTCCGGCGCTCCTCCCCACGCACGCCACGTCCCGGCCCCCAGCCTCCCACGCCTGTGACTTGGCTGCACTGCCCTCCCTGCGGTGGAGCTTGGCTGCCACCTCCCCTCTCTTGCCTGATGGTGGCGTGCTTCCCCCCAACTCCTCCCTGGTGGTTCCTCCCCGGCGGTCTTTCTGGCTCTCGTGCACGTTCTCTCTGGGGATTTGGCGGTGACCACTCTTCTCTTGCTCAAGAAGGTTGTGGGGGGCTGGGAGAGGTGTCCAGGTGCACCTGATGGGGCAGGTGCCCACCTGTTTTGCTCCTCCCTGCCCCTGGGTGGCCCTGCCATGTGGCCTGGTGTGGTTCTGCCTCCTTTCGGCTCACAGGGCCCTTTTCTGAGCTGGCTCGGTCTGCACTGCTGTCCCCTCTGGCCACCGCCCTGCCCCACTGGGCTGCTGGGAATGGCCCTGGTCAGGGAGGAGCCTCTCGACCAGAGCCAGGCCCACGGGTGTCCACCGCGTCCACCAGGGCTCGGGGGGCGGTGCAGGGGGCCAGCTTGCAGCCCCTGCGAACCTGCTGCTTTGCTCTCTCTCTCTCTCTCTTACTGTCCGTCTGTCTGTCTCGTCGCCTGTCTGCGGGAAGAGGGGAGTTCGCCTGGGCCTCTCTCCCCAGGCTGGTGAGCACGGGGGCCAGGCTGCGCTCGCTGCCCCGGAGCCCTGGGCGGGTGCACGTGTCCCGCCCCGCTCGCGCTGTCCCAAGTGAGCTGTGGTGGTGCGGAGAGTGCCGGCACGCGCTCACTGCTCTCTCTGGTCTCTCCTTCTTTCTGCCGCGGCCTCAGCGGCTGGCCGAGCAGCAGCGGGCAGAGGAGCGGGAGCGGCTGGCCGAGGTGGAGGCCGCGTTGGAGAAGCAGCGGCAGCTGGCCGAGGCCCACGCCCAGGCCAAGGCGCAGGCGGAGCAGGAGGCGCAGGAGCTGCAGCAGCGCATGCAGGAGGAGGTGGCCCGGCGGGAGGAGGTGGCAGTGGACGCGCAGCAGCAGAAGCACAGCATCCAGGAGGAGCTGCAGCACGTTCGGCAGAGCTCGGAGGCGGCCATCCAGGCCAAGGCCCGGCAGGCGGAGGCGGCTGAGCGCAGCCGGCTGCGCATCGAGGAAGAGATCCGCGTGGTGCGCCTGCAGCTGGAGGCCACCGAGCGCCAGCGCAGCGGGGCCGAGGACGAGCTGCAGGCTCTGCGCGCGCGTGCCGAGGAGGCGGAGGCCCAGAAGCGGCAGGCGCAGGAGGAGGCCGAGCGGCTGCGGAGGCAGGTACAAGATGAGAGCCAGCGCAAGAAACAGGCAGAGGCGGAGCTGGCACGGCGAGTGGTGGCCGAGGCGGAGGCGGCGCGTGAGAAGCAGCGGGCCGTGCAGGCACTGGAGGAGCTGCGGCTGCAGGCGGAGGAGGCAGAGCGGCGGCTGCGGCAGGCCGAAGTCGAGCGAGAGCGCCAGGTGCAGGTGGCCCTGGAGTCGGCACAGCGCAGCGCTGAGGCCGAGCTACAGAGCAAGCGTGCCTCCTTCGCGGAGAAGACAGCCCAGTTGGAGCGCACGCTGCAGGAGGAGCATGTGGCCGTGGCACAGCTGCGGGAGGAGGCAGAGCGGCGGATGCAGCAGCAGGCCGAGGCAGAGCGCGCCCGCGAGGAGGCGGAGCGGGAGCTGGAGCGCTGGCGCCTGAAGGCCAATGAAGCGCTGCGGCTGCGGCTGCAGGCTGAGGAAGTGGCCCAGCAAAAGAGCCTGGCTCAGGTGGAAGCCGAGAAGCAGAAGGAGGTGGCGGAGCGCGAGGCGCGGCGGCGTGGCAAGGCAGAGGAGCAGGCTGTGCGGCAGCGGGAGCTGGCCGAGCAGGAGCTGGAGCGGCAGCGCCAGCTGGCGGAGGGGACCGCGCAGCAGCGTCTAGTGGCCGAGCAGGAACTGATCAGGCTGCGGGCCGAGACCGAGCAGGGCGAGCAGCAGCGGCAGGTTCTTGAGGAGGAGCTGGCACGGCTGCAGCGTGAGGCGGCAGCGGCCACGCAGAAGCGTCAGGAGCTGGAGGCCGAGTTGGCCAAGGTGCGGGCGGAGATGGAGGTGCTGCTGTCCAGCAAGGCACGGGCCGAGGAGGAGTCGCGCTCCACCAGCGAGAAGTCCAAGCAGAGGCTGGAGGCCGAGGCCAGCCGGTTCCGCGAGCTGGCCGAGGAGGCCGCCCGCCTGCGCGTCCTGGCTGAGGAGGCCAAGCGCCAGCGGCAGCTGGCTGAGGAGGACGCGGTCCGGCAGCGGGCGGAGGCTGAGCGGGTGCTGGCCGAGAAGCTGGCCGCCATTGGCGAGGCCACAAGGCTCAAAACAGAGGCAGAGATCGCGCTCAAAGAGAAGGAGGCGGAAAACGAGCGGCTGCGGCGGTTGGCGGAGGATGAGGCCTTCCAGCGGCGGCGGCTGGAGGAGCAGGCCGCACAGCACAAAGCTGACATCGAGGAGCGCCTGGCACAGCTGCGCAAGGCCTCGGAGAGCGAGCTGGAGCGGCAGAAGGGCCTGGTAGAGGACACACTGCGGCAGCGGCGACAGGTGGAAGAGGAGATCCTCGCGCTCAAGGTGAGCTTCGAGAAGGCGGCTGCTGGCAAGGCCGAGTTGGAGTTGGAGCTGGGCCGCATCCGCGCCAACGCTGAGGACACGCTGCGCAGCAAGGAGCAGGCAGAGCTGGAGGCCGCTCGACAGCGGCAGCTGGCGGCCGAGGAGGAGCAGCGGCGCCGGGAGGCCGAGGAGCGTGTGCAGAAGAGCCTGGTGGCTGAGGAGGAGGCGGCGCGGCAGCGCAAGGCCGCTCTGGACGAGGTTGAGCGGCTCAAGGCCAAGGTGGAGGAGGCATGGCGCCTGCGTGAGCGGGCGGAGCAGGAGTCAGCACGGCAGCTGCAGCTGGCGCAGGAGGCTGCACAGAAGCGGCTGCAGGCGGAGGAGAGGGCGCACGCCTTCACCGTGCAGCAGAAGGAGCAGGAGCTGCAGCAGACGCTGCAGCAGGAGCAGAGTGTGCTGGAGCGCCTGCGCGGCGAGGCAGACACGGCGCGGCACGCGGCCGAGGAGGCGGAGGAGGCAAGGGAGAGGGCCGAGCGGGAGGCGCTGCAGTCCCGGCGGCAGGTGGAGGAGGCAGAGCGGCTGAAGCAGGAGGCCGAGGAGCGGGCCCAAGCCCGGGCGCAGGCACAGGCCGCCGCAGAGGAGCTGCGCAAGGAGGCGGAGCAGGAGGCAGCCCGGCGGGCGCAGGCGGAGCAGGCCGCCCTGCGGCAGAAGCAGGCGGCCGACGCGGAGATGGAGAAGCACAAGAAGTTTGCCGAGCAGACGCTGCGGCAGAAGGCACAGGTGGAACAGGAGCTGACGACGCTGCGCCTGCAGCTGGAGGAGACGGACAACCAGAAGAGCATCCTGGACGAAGAGCTGCAGCGGCTGAAGGCGGAGGTGACAGAGGCCGCGCGCCAGCGCAGCCAGGTCGAGGAGGAGCTGTTCTCGGTGCGCGTGCAGATGGAGGAGCTAAGCAAGCTCAAGGCCCGCATTGAAGCGGAGAACCGTGCACTTATCCTGCGTGACAAGGACAACACGCAGCGCTTCCTGCAGGAGGAGGCCGAGAAGATGAAGCAGGTGGCTGAGGAGGCCGCGCGGCTGAGCGTGGCGGCCCAGGAGGCGGCGCGGCTGCGGCAGCTGGCCGAGGAGGACCTGGCGCAGCAACGAGCTCTGGCTGAGAAGATGCTCAAGGAGAAGATTCAGGCAGTGCAAGAGGCCACGCAGCTCAGGGCCGAGGCCGAGCTGCTGCAGCAGCAGAAGGAGCTGGCACAGGAGCAGGCACGGCGGCTGCAGGAAGACAAGGAGCAGATGGCGCAGCAGCTGGCACAGGAGACGCAGGGCTTCCAGCGGACGCTGGAGGCGGAGCGGCAGCGGCAGCTGGAGATGAGCGCGGAGGCCGAGCGGCTCAAGCTGCGTGTGGCCGAGATGAGCCTGGCCCAGGCCCGAGCCGAGGAGGACGCCCAGCGCTTCCGGAAGCAGGCCGAGGAGATCAGCGAGAAGCTGCACCGCACCGAGATCAGCACACAGGAGAAAATGACGTTGGTGCAGACGCTGGAGATCCAGCGGCAGCAGAGCGACCAGGATGCCGAGCGCCTGCGGGAGGCCATCACCGAGCTGGAGCGTGAGAAGGAGCGACTCAAGCAGGAGGCCAAGCTGCTGCAGCTCAAGTCTGAGGAGGTACCGGGCCCGCGTCACACACGGTGGCGGCGGCGGCGGTGGGTGGGCGGGGCAGGTGGGCGAAAGCCGGTGGGCGGGGAGGGTCTGCCTCGCGGATGGGACAGGGCGTTTGGCCCCCCGGGTGCTGATAGTGGCTCCTGCCCCCGCAGATGCAGACGGTGCAGCAGGAGCAGCTGCTGCAGGAGACGCAGGCCCTGCAGCAGAGTTTCCTCTCTGAGAAGGACAGCCTGCTGCAGCGGGAGCGCTTCGTCGAGCAGGAGAAAGCCAAACTGGAGCAGCTCTTCCAGGACGAGGTGGCCAAGGCGCAGCAGCTGCGTGAGGAGCAGCAGCGGCAGCAGCAGCAGATGGAGCAGGAGAAGCAGCAGCTGGTGGCCAGTATGGAGGAGGCCCGGCGGCGGCAGCGAGAGGCCGAGGAGGGTGTGCGGCGCAAGCAGGAGGAGCTGCAGCGCCTGGAGCAGCAGCGGCAGCAGCAGGAGCAGCTGCTGGCCGAGGAGAACCGGAAGCTGCGGGAGCGGTTGCAGCGGCTGGAGGAGGAGCACCGTGCCGCGCTGGCACACACGGAGGAGGTGGCCGCCTCGCAGGCCGCCATCACCGAGGCCCTGCCCAGCGGCCGCGATGCGCCCGACGGCCCCACCGCGGAGGAGCTACAGCATGCCTTTGAGGGCCTGCGGCGGAAGGTGTCAGCGCGCCAGCTGCAGGAGGTGGGCATCCTGAGCACGGAGGAGCTGCAGCGGCTGGCACAGGGCCACACCACGGTGGCCGAACTCGCGCGGCACGAGGATGTGCGCCGCTACCTGCAGGGCACTGGGAGCATCGCTGGGCTGCTGCTGAAGTCGTCCAACGAGAAGCTGAGCATCTACAGCGCCCTGCAGAGGAAGCTGCTGAGCCCCGGCACTGCTCTGGTGCTGTTGGAGGCTCAGGCGGCCTCGGGCTTCCTGCTGGACCCCGTGCACAACCGACGGCTGACTGTCAACGAGGCCGTAAAGGAGGGCCTTGTGGGCCCTGAGCTGCACCACAAGCTGCTGTCGGCCGAGCGCGCCGTCACCGGCTACACCGACCCCTACACGGGCGAGCAGATCTCCCTCTTCCAGGCCCTGCAGAAGGACCTCATCGTGCGGGACCACGGCGTGCGCCTGCTGGAGGCCCAGATCGCCACGGGCGGCATCATCGACCCCGTGCACAGCCACCGCTTGCCCGTGGAGGTGGCCTACCAGCGCGGCTACTTCGACGAGGACATGAACCGCGTGCTGGCGGACCCCGGCGACGACACCAAGGGCTTCTTCGACCCCAACACGCACGAGAACCTCACCTACCTGCAGCTGCTGGAGCGCTGCGTGCGGGACCCTGACACCGGGCTCCGCGTCCTGCCGCTCACAGATAAGGCTGTCAAGGGTGGCGAGCTGGTCTACTCGGACTCGGAGGTACGTGACGTGTTTGAAAAGGCCACCGTGTCCGCGCCCTTCGGCAAGTTCCAGGGCAAGACGGTGACCATCTGGGAGATCATCAACTCTGAATACTTCACCGCAGAGCAGCGGCGTGATCTGCTGCGGCAGTTCCGCTCTGGCAAGATCACGGTGGAGAAGATCATCAAGATCGTCATCACCGTGGTGGAGGAGCATGAGCAGAAAGGCCAGCTCTGCTTCGAGGGCCTACGCGCCCTGGTGCCCGCCGCCGAGCTGCTCGAGAGCGGGGTCATCAGCCAAGATGTGTATGGCCAGCTGCAGCGGGGCGAGTGCTCCGTGCGGGAGGTGGCTGAGGTGGATGCTGTGCGGCGGGCCCTGCGCGGCGCTGACGTCATCGCAGGAGTGTGGCTGGAGGAGGCGAGGCAGAGGCTAAGCATCTACGAGGCCCTCCGGAGAGACCTGCTGAAGCCCAAGGTGGCCATGGCTCTGCTGGAGGCCCAGGCGGGCACTGGGCATATCCTCGATCCTGCCACCAGCGCTCGGCTGACGGTAGACGAGGCAGTGCGTGCTGGCCTGGTGGGGCCCGAGCTGCACGAGAAGCTGCTGTCAGCTGAGAAGGCTGTGACGGGCTACCGGGACCCCTACTCAGGCCAGACCGTGTCCCTATTCCAGGCCTGGAAGAAGGGCCTCATCCCCAGGGAGCAGGGCCTGCGTCTGCTGGATGCCCAGCTATCCACGGGTGGCATCGTGGACCCCAGCAAGAGCCACCGCGTGCCCCTGGATGTGGCCTACGCACGGGGCTACCTGGACAAGGAGACACGCAGGGCTCTGTTGGCGCCGCAGGATGACGCCAAGACTTTCTACGACCCTGGTGCACAGGAGCCGCTCACCTACAGCCAGCTGCAGCAGCAGTGCCAGCCGGACCAGCTCACTGGGCTCAGCCTGCTGCCGCTCTCCGAGAAGGCTGCACGGGCCCTGCAGGAGGAGCTCTACTCCGACACACAGGCCCGCGAGACCTTCGAGAAGGCCACCGTCGAGGTCCCTGTGGGCGGCTTCAGGGGCCGGACGGTCAGTGTCTGGGAACTTATCAGCTCCGAGTATTTCACAGAGGAGCAGAGGCGGGAGCTGCTGCGGCAGTATCGCACGGGCAAGGTCACTGTGGAGAAGATCATCAAGATCCTCATCACCATCATTGAGGAGACAGAGATCAGGCGGCAGGAGAAGCTGACCTTCAGCGGCCTGCGGGCGCCAGTCCCGGCCAGTGAGCTCCTGGACGCCAAGGTCCTCAGCAGGGCACAGTTTGAGCAGCTCCAGGACGGCAAGACATCAGTCAAAGACCTCTCCGAGGTGGACGCCGTGCGGATGCTGCTCCGGGGCAGCGGCTGCGTGGCCGGCATCTACCTGGAGGACTCCAAAGAGAAAGTGACTGTCTACGAGGCCATGCGGCGGGGCCTACTTAGGCCCAGCACGGCCACACTGCTGCTTGAGGCGCAGGCAGCCACCGGCTTCCTGGTGGACCCCGTGCGCAACCAGCGGCTCTATGTCCATGAGGCGGTCAAGGCAGGTGTGGTAGGGCCAGAGCTGCATGAGAAACTGCTGTCAGCCGAGAAGGCTGTGACTGGCTACAAGGACCCCTACTCGGGCTCCACCATCTCCCTCTTCCAGGCCATGCAGAAGGGCCTGGTCCTCAGGAACCACGGCGTGCGCCTGCTGGAGGCCCAGATCGCCACGGGCGGCATCATCGACCCTGTGCACAGCCACCGCGTGCCTGTGGAGGTGGCCTACCAGCGTGGCTACTTCGACGAGGACATGAACCGTGTGCTGGCGGACCCCAGCGATGACACCAAGGGCTTCTTTGACCCCAACACGCACGAGAACCTCACCTATCGGCAGTTGCTGGCGCGCTGTGTGGAGGACCCCGAAACTGGGCTGTTCCTCCTGCCCTTGAGAGCAGCAGAGGGGCCTGAGGTGGCGGAGACCACGCAGGTGTACACAGAGGAGGAAACACGGCGAGCATTCGAGGAGACGCAGATTGAGCTTCCGGGTGGCGGCCCCGGCGCCTCCACCATGTCGCTGTGGGAGGTGATGCAGTCGGACATGATCCCAGCAGAGCAGCGGGCCCGCCTGATGGAGGACTTCCGGGCCGGCCGGGTGACCAAGGAGCGCATGATCATCATCATCATCGAGATCATTGAGAAAACAGAGGTCATCCGCCAGCAGAACCTGGCCTCCTACGACTACGTGCGCCGCCGCCTCACCGCTGAGGACCTATATGAAGCCCACATCATCTCCCTCGAGACCTACAATCTGCTCCGCGAGGGGATCAAGACCCTGCGCGAAGTGCTCGAGGCCAAGGACGCCTGGCGCTACCTCTACGGCACGGGTTGCGTGGCCGGCATCTACGTGCCCGGCTCCCGGCAGACGCTGACCGTCTACCAGGCCCTCAAGAAGGGGCTGGTGAGCGCCGAGGTGGCCCGCCTGCTGCTGGAGGCCCAGGCAGCCACAGGCTTCCTGCTGGACCCCCTGAAGGGCGAGCGGCTGACGGTGGACGAGGCCGTGCGCAAGGGCCTGGTGGGGCCCGAGCTGCATGACCGGCTGCTGTCAGCTGAGCGTGCCGTGAGTGGCTACCGCGACCCCTACACTGAGCAGACCATCTCGCTGTTCCAGGCCATGAAGAAGGATCTGATCCCAGCCGAGGAGGCGCTGCGCCTGCTGGACGCCCAGCTGGCCACAGGCGGCATCATTGACCCACACCTGGGCTTCCACCTGCCACTGGAGGTGGCCTACCAGCGTGGCTACCTCAACAAGGACACACACGACCAGCTCTCGGAGCCCAGTGAGGTCCGCAGCTACGTGGACCCCTCCACGGACGAGCGGCTCAGCTACACGCAGCTGCTGAAGCGGTGCCGCCAGGACGACAAGAGTGGCCAGCTGCTCCTGCCGCTCTCAGACTCCCGCAAGCTGACCTTCCGCGGGCTGCGCAAGCAGATCTCGGTGGAGGAGCTGGTGCGCTCCCAGGTGATGGACGAGGCCACCGCGCTGCAGCTGCAGGAGGGCCTCACGTCCGTCGAGGAGGTGACCAAGAACCTGCAGAGGTTCCTCGAGGGTACCAGCTGCATCGCCGGCGTCTTCGTGGATGCCACCAAGGAGCGGCTGTCGGTGTACCAGGCCATGAAGAGGGGCATCATCCGGCCTGGCACAGCCTTCGAGCTGCTGGAGGCGCAGGCAGCCACTGGCTACGTCATCGACCCCATCAAGGGGCTCAAGCTGACCGTGGAGGAGGCCGTGCGCATGGGCATTGTGGGCCCTGAGTTCAAGGATAAGCTGCTGTCGGCTGAGCGTGCTGTCACTGGCTACAAGGACCCCTACTCCGGAAAGCTCATCTCCCTCTTCCAGGCCATGAAGAAGGGGTTGATCCTCAAGGACCACGGCATCCGCCTGCTGGAGGCCCAGATCGCCACGGGTGGCATCATTGACCCCGAGGAGAGCCACCGCCTGCCCGTGGAGGTGGCCTACAAGCGTGGCCTCTTCGACGAGGAGATGAACGAGATCCTGACCGACCCTTCAGATGACACCAAGGGCTTCTTCGACCCCAACACGGAGGAGAACCTCACCTACCTGCAGCTGATGGAGCGCTGCATCACGGACCCCCAGACTGAGCTGTGCCTGCTGCCGCTGAAGGAGAAGAAGCGGGAGCGCAAGACGTCCTCCAAGTCCTCAGTGCGCAAGCGCCGCGTGGTCATCGTGGACCCCGAGACAGGCAAGGAGATGTCGGTGTACGAGGCCTACCGCAAGGGCCTCATCGACCACCAGACGTACCTGGAGCTGTCAGAGCAGGAGTGTGAGTGGGAGGAGATCACCATCTCCTCCTCAGATGGTGTTGTCAAGTCCATGATCATCGACCGGCGCTCCGGCCGCCAGTACGATATCGACGAGGCCATTACCAAGAACCTCATTGACCGCTCGACACTGGACCAGTACCGCTCCGGCACGCTCTCCATCACTGAGTTCGCCGACATGCTCTCGGGCAATGCCAGTGGCTTCCGCTCCCGCTCCTCCTCGGTCGGCTCCTCCTCCTCCTACCCGCTCAGCCCCGCTGTCTCCCGCACCCAGCTGTCCCCCTGGTCTGACCCCACGGAGGAGACGGGCCCGGTGGCTGGCATCCTCGACACGGAGACACTGGAGAAGGTGTCCATCACCGAGGCCATGCGCCGCAACCTGGTGGACAACATAACGGGGCAGCGGCTGCTGGAAGCACAGGCCTGCACCGGCGGCATCATCGACCCCGGCACGGGCGAGCGCTTCTCTGTCACCGAGGCCGTCAACAAGGGCCTGGTGGACAAGATCATGGTGGACCGCATCAGCCTGGCCCAGAAGGCCTTCTGCGGCTTCGAGGACCCACGCACCAAGACCAAGATGTCGGCGGCCCAGGCACTCAAGAAGGGCTGGCTCTACTACGAGGCCGGCCAGCGCTTCCTGGAGGTGCAGTACCTGACAGGTGGGCTGATTGAGCCCGGTGCTCCGGGCCGCGTGCCACTTGACGAGGCCCTCCAGAAGGGCACCGTGGACACCCGCACCGCCCAGAAGCTGCGTGACGTCGGTGCCTACTCCAAGTATCTCACCTGTCCCAAGACCAAGCTCAAGATCTCCTACAAGGACGCGCTGGACCGCAGCATGGTGGAAGAGGGCACGGGGCTGCGTCTGATGGAGGCTGCTGCCCAGTCCAGCAAGGGCTACTACAGCCCCTACAGCGTCAGCGGCTCCGGCTCCACCACCGGCTCCCGCACGGGCTCCCGCACGGGCTCGCGGGCTGGCTCACGGCGTGGCAGCTTCGACGCCACCGCCTCCGGCTTCTCCATGACCTTCTCCTCCTCCTCCTACTCCTCCTCGGGCTATGGCCGCCGCTACGCTTCGGGGCCCTCGCCCTCGCTGGGGGGCCCTGAGTCCGCGGCGGCCTGACCCCCTGCCTGCCCCCCGCCCCCGCTCTGCATGCGGCCAGGCCCCTCCGCACGGGGTGCCGGGGCTTCCTCTCTTGTCTAAAGGAGTCTTCCTCCAACGCGGTGCCTAGAATCTAACCGAAAAGACCAGACTAACATAGTAATATAGACCTGCTGTCCACACGGCCTGGGTCTCTCCACTGCCCCCTACCTGCCACTCACCACAGCCAGGTGCCTTGGAGGGCCCAGAGTCAGGCCCCAGCCCCCCGCCCCCCATCTCCCCAGGGGATGGTCCTGCCCCTGGCTAACAAGGTCCTCTGTCTTCTCGGGCGTCGACCCCAGGGGTCAGCATTTCTCAGTGTTTCCAGGGCCGCCTGCTGACTCAGTGGGCCTTGCTGGGTGGGGGTCCCCAGGTCAGCCATGTCTTCCAGCCTGCTCAGAGAAGCCTCTTCCCCATGGGAAGATGGGGCTCCAGTCTGCAGGCCCGGCCGGGCCCAGCCCCCTGTTTTGCTCCTGCGGCTGCCGCCTGAGCTGGGGGCCGTTCTCAGCTCTCCGTCTTGGCTTGTCAGTCCCTCCCTGACACTCCCAGGCCCCAGGCCTCTGGCTGCAGCCTTCCAGCCTCAGCTCCCCTAGTAAGTGCCTTTTGTGTCCTCCCTTGTCCCCGGGCCCTGAGGACCCACACCTGGCTGGGAGACGGACGTGCCTGTGGAAGGCTTGCCCTGGGTTCCCAGTTCTCAGGCTGGGTCGGCCCAGGATGGCCTGGTGGGATGAGGCCTCTGCAGAGCTGTCCTGTCCTGCCCCGTGGAGCCCTGTTTTGGGTGCCCACCCAGACCAGGGGCTGCTGCCTGCCTGTCTCTCCCAGGGAGCCCCGCCCACAGAACAGCCACAGCCCCTCTGTTGGGCCCAGGGATCCCAACTGGACTGTCTGCATTGGCCTGGGCATCCCAGCCCGGTGCCACCCACCCTCCTGCCCCACCCAGCCCTGGCCTTGGTGGCTCTCACCCCTGCCTCCACCCTCTGAGCTTTGCATGTTCCACTAACCCAGGCAGGCAGCGGGGGGAGGGGCCGGGCTGCCAGCCACCTCTGTGAGGGCAGAACACTAACCTGACCATGGGCGGGGCCCCACAGCACCCGCCCCCAATAAAGCAATTCCAACTTTTCTGCGAGTCCGCCTATCTTTTGTCCTGGGGTCAGGCATGTGCTGGGTGTGGACGCTTCGGTCCCAGGCTTGGTGCTCTGAGCTCAGTCACTGTGTGCTGGCCAGGGACAGGAGCAAGTCCTCTGTGAAGACACTGGCCTGAGGCCGGCCATCTGGGGGCAAGAGAAACCGCCGGCTGGCTGGAGGGCCTGCAGTGAGTAGGGCTGCAGTGAAGGGCAGGGCAGAGGCCTGCTCACAGTGGCTTCCCTATCTCCACTGTGAGTCCAGATGACAGGTTGTCACCTGAGGCTGGACACATGATCAGCACTTAATGTGCTCATGTGATTTTCTATGAGGTGGTGTCTTACCCCGGTATCAGCCAGTCATTAGCTGTGCCCCCCTCAGGAGGGAGAAAGATAACCTCCCTAAGTGGTTTCTGCCAGCCAAGGATACTTCTCCAAAGAAGGATGCTACTGTGAGCCTTAGCAGCGCCCCTGGCACCTGGGCAATGGGTAAAGCACCAACAGCATCTACCACAGTCCACCCCTTGACCCACTTGCTTCGCACATTCAGTTTACGCCATCCAGACCCAGCTTCTCCGGGGTTCTGATAGGTCGTGGTTCCTGCGAAAACAGGAGGAGGTTCCTGAGCCCATGACTGACCCTCATCTCCCCGCTTCACTGGGGGAGGGGGACCTGGCCCCTGGTTCCTCGGGGTCTGAGTCTCTGTTCCCACGCCCTTGTCGGGCTCTGTTTGCTCTCCTTGCTCATTCGCGGTTAAGATGACATGGAAGTACTGAGCGGTGCCCCCAGGGATCCTCTGGGGCCAAGACTCCTTCCTGCCCCCGTTGGAGCAGTAGCTCCGCCTCCTCGTGATGGTCAGGGTTGTCCTCGCCAGAATGGTGACGCTGCTTTGCATGCTGGTCCACTGGAATGAGGAGCCCACAGTGACCTGGTGGAAGCTGTAGTTTAAGTGGGACTCTTCAATACTGTGTCCCCAGGTGGAAATGTGTTCTCCCTGGGGACCAGGACCCTAAAACCCTCATAGCTTAGTTGTAGAGACAGGAAGCTGAATTTTCCCAGTGGGCCACCGGGAGCGATGGTGAGCAGGGCACCCCTGCTTCCACCCTGTGGTTCCCAGCCCCATGTGTCACGCCTGCTGGGGACACAGCACTATACAATGACCATTGGCTGAAGGTAAAGACAATATCCTGAAGGACAGTGCCTCAGTCCTATAGGGTGTCATCATCAAGGTAGCGTCTCAGCTGCCCTCCCGTAAGTCAGTCCCAACAACCAGGCTGGCGGCTTCTGAGTGGCGTGGTGTGTGGGAGGACCAGTGAATCAGCCTCCTGCACCCACCACAGCACCTCCTCTGCTGTGGAGTGGGTCCCATGGTCTGAGGCAGCCTTACGCTATGGTAGATCAGTTATCTGGGGCACCCTAGGCTAGAAAGGTAAGCCCCCACCTGGAATACATGAATTGTCCTTTCCAAGGTGAAGAAGTCTGGAGTCATCAGTTTGCCACACAGTCACCAGCTGGTCTCATGGAGGGATGCGATTGTGTCAGGGGCCTCTGGTGGTCTTCATTGCTGGAAGGCGGGACGTGCAGCAATGACGGGAGTTGGTCAGCCTTGGGGAGAGGGAGCCACTGTTGGTCTTTCTCTGTTCCTTGTCTGCTCCGTCAGGGCACCCTGTGCAAGTGCTAGGCCCTGGCAGAGTCATTGGTCCACTGGGTTGTTCGGTGCCTCCTCTGCAGGGGGTGCTTTCAGGTTGTCGTCAACATGCGATACAAGATGCACTCCCACGTGTCCATCGAGCACTCCTTTCCACGATCTTCCAGTCTTGCTCCTTTTAGCCTCCTGACCAACCAGAGAGCCTTTTACTTGACTGTGAGTCCTTGTGTATCCTCACCTTGATCCCTCTCATTCCATGCATCCTCCCCATGATCCACTCTCTCCATGTGTATCTTCGCCTTGATCACTCATCTGTCCACAAGTATCCTCACCTTGATCCACTCTCTCTCTCTGTATCTTCACCTTGATCCAGTCGCTCTCCATGTGTATCCTCACCTTGATCCACTCTCTCCATGTGTATCTTCACCTTGATCCAGTCGCTCTCCATGTGTATCCTCACCTTGATCTGCTCTCTCTCCATGTTTATCTGTCTTAGCCATCTAGTGCTGCTATAACAGAAATACCACAAGTGGATGGCTTTTACGAAGAGAAGTGTATTCTCTCACAGTTTAGGAGGCTAGAAGTCTGAATTCAGGATGCCAGCTCTAGGGGAAGTCTCTCAGCTCTAGAGGAAGGTCCTTATCATCAATCTTCCCCTGGACTAGGAGCTTCGCAGCACAGGGACCCCAGGTCCAAAAGACACACTGTGCTCCTGGCACTACTTTCATGGTGGTATGAGGTCCCCATGTCTCTCTGCTTGCTTCTCTCTTTTATATCTCAAAAGAGATTAAGACACACCTAATCTTGTAGATGGAGTTCTGCCTTATTAACATAACTGCCTCTAATCCCGCCTCATTAGCATCATAGAGGTGGGATTTACAACACATAGGAAACTCACATCAGATGACAAAATGATGGTCTATCACACAAACTGGGAATCATGACCTAGCCATGTTGACGTACATTTTTGGGGACACAATAACATACACACTTTGGCACCCCAAAATTCATGTCCTTGCCACATGTAAAACACATTCACCCCATAATATCATAGCAAAAGTCTTAACTCCAAGTCCAAAATCCAAAAAATTTCTCTTCATCTGTGGTATCTAGAATACATATTATCTGCTTCCAAAGTACAGTGGTGGAACAGCCACAAGCTAGACATTTCCATTGCAAATGGGAAAAATTGGAGGGAAAGAAGGAATAACACACACCAAGCAAGTCAGCAGAACACATTACATTAGTCCTCAAGGCTTGAAAATAATCCTCTGTTCTCTGAGACCATTTAGACAATGGCCCTGACCTCCAGACTCTAGGTACTGGCCACACTCTCTGGATTCTCAGTGGAGGTCCCTCAGCCCTGGGCTTCAGCTCCACCTTCCAAGTCCACTGGAAGGGCAACTCTGATCCCTCGAATTTGGGCGGTCCCTTTCTAGTCCATCTGAGTGGTGACTCCACCCTTTGAGACCCTAGAGGTCATGGGTCATGGCCATACTCTTTGAGACTGAGGCAGCTCTGCTTCCTGTGTTCCTTGTCTCTCCAGGTCTGCTTCCTTGGTCTCTTGGCCCCTCGAGCCACACCGCCCTTGTCTGCCCTGCTGGGACAAGTGTTCCAAAGCTCTTTAGCTCCACTGATTAGTGCCTGGAGGAACCCCACTCCACCAGTAAACTTCAACCAGAAAGCCCTCAGTTCTCTTGTTCTGTGGGTTGGCAAGCCTAGATCCATTGATAAGTGCCTGGAGGCACCCCACTCTACCAGGAAGCCTCCTGCCAAAGGCACTCAACTCTCTTGCTCCATGGGTTGGTTCCAGAATGGTCTTGTGCTGGTCTGGTTCTGCTGCCGCCGTTTCTCTGCTGCTCCTTCTTGCTGTCTGCACCGTCTCCAGTGTAAAAGCTCTCCTCACTTCCTTCCGAGTCCTCACCAGAATTGTCTTTGATGTCCATAATTCCACCAACAGTCTTTTCAAGGCAGTCTAGGCTTTTACTATTAGGCACTTTAAACCTCTTCCAGCCTCTATCCATTCACAGTTTCAAAACTGCTTTCACATTTTAGTTATCTGTTAGAATAGAACCCCACTCCCTGTACCAAATTCTGTCTTAGTTATCTAGTGCTGCTATAACAGAAATACCACAAGTGAATGGCTTTAACAAAGAGAAATGTATTCTCTCACAGTTTAAGAGGCTAGAAGTCTGAATTCAGGATGTCAGCTCTAGGGGAAGACTTTCTCTCTCTGTCAGCTCTGGGGGAAAGTCCTTGTCATTAATCTTCCCCTGGACTAGGAGATTCTCAACACAGGGACCCTGGGTCCAAAGGACACACTCTGTTCCTTGTTCCTGGCACTACTTTCTTGGTGGTATGAGGTCCCCACGTCTCTCTGCTCACTTCTCTCTTTTATATCTCAAAAGACATTGGCTTAAAACCCAACCTAATCTCGTAGATTGAGTCCTCCCTCATTAACATAACTGCTGCTAATCCCACCTCATTAACATCATGGAGGTAGGATTTACAACATATAGGAAAATCACATCAGCTGACAAAATGGTGGACAATCACACAATACTGGGAATCATGGCCTAGCCAAGCTGACATACATTTTTTTGGGGACATAATTCAATCCATAACAATATCCTCACCTTGTTCCACTCTCTCTCCATGTGTATCTTCACCTTCATCTGCTCATCTCTCCATAAATATCATCACTTTGATCCACTCTCTCTCCCTATGTATCCTCACCTAGATCCACTCTCTCTTCACGCATATCCTCACCTTGATCTGCTCTTCTCTCCATGTGTATCCTCACCTTGATCACTGGTCTCTCCACAAGTATTCCCACCTTGAGTGCTGTTCTCTCCATGTGTATCCTTGCCTTGATCCACTCGCTCTCTGCACAAGGTGGAGAACCCAATGCATCACCCAAAGCTATGTGCAGGGTATTCCCCTCAGCACCATCTCCAGGGCCACCCCAAGTGGAGCTGTAGCACAGCAGCTATCTGTTCTAAGCCCATACCATTATACCATGCCCATCATCTGTGAACCAAGCCCAGTTTTATGGCCTCTTCCATCAGCTGGTCACTGGGAGCCCTCTATGAGGCCATGATGTAACAGTGATGGATGACATGGGAGGGTCTCGGCCACCTGCTTGTGTGGCTTACTCCTACCCTCTGGCCCTGCTTGAGCCTGATCCTACATGTCCACTCCATCTTACTGTGAATCCTTGCTGAGCCTGCTCAGCCTTATGACTTGGTGGGTCTGGTGGCACCCAGCTCATGATGGGAAGCTATGGTTGCATAGTTACTGTTGTCCTATGGTTGGGTGCTCGGCTCCCACCAGGTCCCAGTAGCACACCAGGAATCGTTCATGGATAGTACGTA